TTAACCCATAAATCATTACTTATGAAATTCGGCATAGTTGTTTTCCCCGGCTCAAATTGCGACAAAGACATGTATCACGTACTCACTGAAGTGATGGGTTTTGAAGCGCGCTATATGTGGCACAAAGAAACCGACTTGAATGATTTCACAACGGAAGATTGTATCGTGTTGCCGGGAGGGTTTAGCTATGGCGATTACCTCCGCACTGGAGCGATTGCTCGTTTTTCACCAATCATGGAAAGTGTTATTCAATTTGCGAATGATGGCGGAAAAGTGTTGGGGATTTGAAAAATTCGGACTACAAAGGTCCTTTTGACGAACAAGATGTTGCCTCAGCTAGATATCACCATTTTTTAGGTACCGACAAACTAGGGCGCGATGTGATGAGCGGGATGATTCAAGGTACACGAGTGGCGATGATGGTCGGTGTTATCTCAATGTCTATTGCTGTTTTTATTGGCATTATTTTAGGCGCTATGGCAGGTTACTATGGCGATACCAAATTAAAGATGAGCCGTATTCGTCTTTGGTTAAATCTTGTGTTTTTACTTTTAGCTATTTACTATGCCTTCATGGTGAGAAGCTATATTCTTTCCGATGCATTGTCAGTGAGTATTGGCGGATTTTTCCTTCAATTACTGATTAGCCTTTTCATTTTCGTAGTCATTATGGCCATAGCGAATTTGCTCACTGCGGTGTTGAAGAGAATTCCATTTTTTGCGAAGCAAGTAAGCATTCCGATGGATATTTTGATTTCGCGTTTGATAGAGGTGAAAGTTTCCGTGCCAACTATTTTGCTTATTCTTTCGATAAGTGCCATCATGAACAAACCTTCTATCTTCATCACTATGATTGTAATTGGATTTTTGGGCTGGACGGGTATTGCGAAATACGTTCGTGCAGAGTTGTTGAAAGTGCGTAGTTTGGAGTTTATCGAAGCTGCACAAGCTTTGGGTTTGAGTGAGTGGAGAATTGTGATGAAACACGCTATCCCTAATTCATAAACTACTGTGCTTATCACCATCGCCTTCGGAGTAGCGGGAGCTATTTTGACAGAATCGAGTTTA